CTTATTTCCACAGTCACATTTAATATATATTTACAATCACTGAAATATGATAATTATCGCACTACATAAAGTTATCTTTTAAAAGTTCAGATTTTACGAATTGAATTTACGTTAGACTAAGTGACTTCTCCCATGAGTATGTTGTTGTTCAAAGTAAAGTAATTAAAAGAATGACCCCTTAATAGGAGAGGCCATAAGAAATGAGTACAAAGTGACTTCATCTTTTCTGGGAGGTAATTTGGGTTAAAAAAAAAAAAAAAAGTAAAGGCAACTTTCACCTTATCTATAATATTTAAAGCATAATATGCTAATTAGACCAGATAGCTGAACCACCTTTCAGATGGACCTTCTGGACGAAGCCAGGGCTGTGAGGGCCGAGTCCCTTGCATGAATTTCGGGCACCGGGCCTCTAGTAAATATATATGTATGTTCACACAATAGAAAATTTAAAAAATTATAAAGTGTTTTAGTGAAGTAAGCCAGACTAAAGTTCTCAACAAATATTTACTAACTAAATAATGAATATTTTTATACTGTCTTCTTTCTGTTTGTTAATAGGTGTTCTTTTTTACAAGCAGGAAAAAAAAATAAGACACAAAAAGAAATTTATTCCCCCATACACCTGAAAATTATAGCTCAACATGTGTTTCGTTTTCTGAATACTTGTTAAAGTTTCTCACCTCCATTGAAATTTTGGCACAAAGATCCAATCCTTAAATTAGCCCAGATCACGTTAGGGATTGTTTTATTGCTGGTAACTCTATCTGTAGTTCCAAAGATCCCGATGTTCTTGCATTGAGAAAGCAACAAGGGGAAAAGTCTTTGGAAGGAAAACCTACCAAAGTGAACGGTTACTGAAAAAAATTCTCTTCAACTACCTACAAGCAAGGAAGCCGCTGTGAAACTGTCTTAATGTTTTCAGATTTATTTGGGTAGTGAAGTTGTAACCAATTTATTTAACTCCTCATTAAAATCCTGTTGACCTCAATGAAGCCAGTACGTTTCACAGGGTGTAAGTATTTGGAAACTGGCAAACTTTTCTAAGGAGGGCAGCAGCTGCTAGGGCCAGCCCAGTCCGGAGGACTTTCTCCTAGGACAGTGGTCAGCAAACTGCGGCTCTTGAGCCACATGAGGCTCTTTGGCCCCTTGAGTGTGGCTCTTCTGCAAAATACCACGGCCTGGGCGAGTCTATTTTGAAGTGGCGTTAGAAGAAGTTTAAATTAAAAAAATGTGGCTCTCAAAAGAAATGTCAGTCGTTGTACTGTTGAATATATGTGGCTCTGTTGACCTATGAGTTTGCCGACCACTGGCCTAGGAGTTTCATGTGTACCCAGATGGTATTCTGCATCCACGTGCACCTGCAGCTCCTCTCAATCCTGCCTTCCTCTGCTGCTCAAAATGTAAGGCGTGCTTTATCCGTACAATTGCATCGTTTCAGTCCGTGTTGCCATGTGCTGCCTTCCTGGTAACCCGTTCTGGTTTGAGGTCCTCAGAGGTCTTTTCATCATGCTCTATGGAACCTCCATTTCACTATTTACAACAAACAAATAGAGGAAAACCCAACTCCTTGAGATCCTTCACAGATTGCTTCTGTTGGCTTCTCTGGGAAGCAGAAGCTAAAATGGAGTTAGGAGTGCAGGTTTGTTGGAGGTAACACTTGTGGAACATAAAAAGGGCAAGGAATCAGACTGGAAAGGTCTCAGCCAACTCAATGGCGAGCTAGAGAAGAGCCTGATGCTTGGAAAGTTCTGCATGGGAGAGAATGGCAGGCCGCAGGTCTCTGCCATCCTTGGTCATTGGCTGGGGCTAGCCTGGAAAAGAGTCGCCTGACCCAAAAGCCCAGGCAGAGCCCACAGGTGCTAACAGCTGGAGGCTGTCCGACAACTGCACTCCTCAAGACTGAACATCAAGGTCTTTGTGGGAGATCAGAGAGAGGCAACTCCAGCTGCCTTGGAGATTCATTCCTCCACCGTGCCACCGCTGAAGTCTTAAACTCCGACATGCTAGCACTCACCCGAAGGCCCTATCTCTTCATCGTTCATCCTTCACTCTCATATCTGTTCTTTGATTTCATATGAAACTCTTACTCTCTTGTTCCCTTAACGTTCTTTCAACATTTCAACTCTCTCTTGATCTCACTGTTTTCTCCAGATTGGCTAGCCTCAGTTCTCTATCATTTCATCAGTTCTACAACCAATTTCCTTAAATTCTTTACCACTCTGTCCCAAGTGCCCACAATGCAAGAGTCTGTGTATCTGTCTGCCTTCTTTCTTCCTATATGCAAATTGCTGGCTGCAGCTAAAGAAAATCGTACAACCCTGTAGCTTAATGTACAATGGTTCCCAATCTTAGCTGAACCCTAAACATTGTACAGCTATCCTATAATTAGGTACTTCCTTCTCACATGGCATCTGAGGAAATAGCTTATAATTTTCGTTTTGCAACATGTTCGAGAGTCTGATGGGAAGAGCATGGACTTTGGGGTCACATGGATTAGATTTGAATTCTAGCTCTTTACTGCCTGTAAGACCCCACCTGACTTCTCTGAGTCTTCTTTCTCAGTCTTTAGAATGGAGCTGATATTAACTGTCGATGACAGATTGTTTTGAGGATTATAGAAAATATAGTTTAGGGAGATGTGTTAAATCATCGAACATACTGATATGTACACTAAGGTTTTTCCCAGTAACTGCTACCAACTGTCCAAAACTCCTCTCCCCCTAGCTGGTTGTTCAGTTGTTAGAGCATCAGCCTGCGGAATGAAAGGTCTCAGGTTTGAATCTGACCTTGGTTGCAGGCTAGATCCCTGGTCCCAGTGGGGTGCATGTTTCTCTCTCTCTGTCTCTCCCCATCCCATCCATTCTCTCTAAAAAAATCAATGGAAGTAATATCCTCGGGTGAGGATTAACAACAATAAAACAACAACCACAAAATCCTTTCTACTGAGTACATCTAAATCCAATTCCATAATGTTTCTACCAAATATTAATTGTTCTTTAGGAACTATTTTAATCACTATTGGTTTTTTTGATTTTTTTCTATGTTCTTTTTGTTTTGGTATTTTTTTTTGTAAACATTGACTTCTCTTGAGATTTCCCCATATTATGCACAAGATTTTCTTCTAATTTAAAAATATTACTTTAATCCATTGTTATGTCACTCTTTAGTTCTCTGGCTGTTGTTTGCTAACTAAGACAAATTTATATAAGAAAAATACATGTAAGTTCAACTTAATCAGTTCAGAGATTCATATCCAAAGAATTAAATATTTATGAGTAGAGTGGTTATTTTTCATTTTAAAATAATCTCTTTTGAATGTAACAGTTAAAGAGTTTAATATGGTTTTATATTAAATATAGTGTTTTTAGTACCTATTTTCCTTTGTGATCTACTTTATATTTTTTAAAAATTTCCTCATAAAACATTAGGTATCTGACTTTCACATAAACAAATTTATATACATGTACATACACATACAAGTCACTATTCTCATTATTTGCATTATTTTTGTTTATAAGACCAATTACCAAAATACTGAAGTTCAATAATAAATATTTTTGCTTGAGATTTTCCTTGTATTCTTTACAATCTATCACAAGAAAACAAAAACATGCCAGTCTACAACATTTGGTTTAGTACTGGTTAGGTAGTCCCTAGCTCTGGATCTTATGTTTTGATAAATTTTAATAATTTTGAGAACTATGGATACAGGGTATATCATGATTGTGGGGGGAAATATAAGCTCAGTATATTCTCAGAATCCATGCTTTAAAAAATGGGTGGTTACACTGTAGTTCATATACATAATATTTTCACTTAATATTTCAATTACTTTCATTGCATTAGATCTCTATCACCCCCCAGTTTAATTAGTAGGAAGACAAAAAATATTTCTCTTTGGTGCCAACTGCCAACATAGCAACATGTTTTTACTATTTGCCTTTACTCTTGTAATGGGCATTGAAATATTTTACACAGTCTCAACTTCGTATGTACTTTGTGTGTGTGGTGTGTGTGTGTGTTTGTATGTGTTTGTATGTGTGTAGTAACATGCCCTTCACATTGATAAAAACGTATAAAACTGAAATAAATGATTAAAAAAATACTGTTTAGGATTGAGTGGCAGCTGGCGGAGTTTGGGAATAACAAATATTTATTACATTCCCGAAGGACCAAGAAATATGTATAATAGTTGAGACATTCCCCCCTCACACACACACGCAGTGATCTATAAACGATATTTGTGTAATGAAGGAGGATATTTCAATCCCAACCCCTAATGAACCTAGGAATCCCTTTCCCTTCTAGATTAGCCTTGATTTCAGCAGTTGGGTTGCGAATGCAGGTCTTGCAGGTCTCTTTCAAGAGGCGCCCTGCAGGGCCTCAGGGATTCGGGGTTACCGAAGAGGGGGTCCCGGGCCCCGTTATCGCCTTTTTCTTCTATCGCAGGGCACGGAGATGGGCAGGAGGGATGCAGATGGCGGGTTGAGCGGACCTGTTCCACCCAGACTCAGGGAACACCCCTGGCGACCCGTCCTCAGTCCCGCCCCCCGCGCCGCGCACGCCTTATGTAAGCGCCGAGGCCCCGCCCCGGACAGGCCCCGCCCCTCCAAGGCCCCGCCCCCGCCAGGCCCCGCCCCCGGCCAGCTCCGGCCCGGGCCCCGCGGGCGGAGGGCGGAGAGAAGCAGCCGCCGCAACTTCGCGTGGAGCCGCGGAGCGTGGGCTCAGCCGGACGCCGAGCCGCCGCCGCCGCGGAGCCGCCGCGTCCCCGGCCCCGGCACCAGCCCCGCCGGCTCGGCATGGCCCCCGCCGCCGCCGCCGCCGCCGCGGCTCATCCGGCCCCGGCGCCCTGCGCTCGCCGCTGAGCAGCCGTTATCCGCCCGCCCGCCGCCGCGGCCCAGGCTCCGCGCAAGTTTCCGCCGCGGGAGCCGCGGGAGGCGCAGGCGGGAGAGCGGACGTGGGGAATCGGCGCCCCCAGCCCGCCGGCCCTCCCGCCCGCGATGTGGGGGCGCTTCCTGGCCCCCGAGGCCGGCGGCCGCGACAGCCCGGGCGGAGCCCGCAGCTTCCCGGCGGGTGAGTAACGGGACGGCCCCGGCGGCGGTGGGGGTCGCGGCCGAGCGCTGCGCTCTGGGACCCGCCGCCCTCCGCGCCCAGGCCCGGCCTCCCGCCGCCGGCTCCCCGCCGCCTCGGGCCCCCGGCTCCCGGGCCCCCGACCCCCGGGCCCCGACCCCCGGGCCGGCATCGGGCGGGCGGCGGCCCCGGCGTGAAGCTCTCCGGGACCTCCCCGGGCTGGGCTTTGTTGTCGGTCCTCCGCCCCTTCCCTCGTGGGGTGCGGGGTGCGGGGTGTGGGGTGCGGGGTGCGGGGTGCAGACGTGGATAACGGGGCTCCCGGGCACCCGCGCGGGAAGGTCGCTGCGGCGGCGGCGGCGGCTCGGGGCGCGCCCGCGGGGCCGGGGTCCGCGAAGCCCACGCCGCGGCCGCCGCCTTAGGGGCGTTTAGGGCGGGAGGGGGCTGCCGGCGACGCCCCCGCGGCAGGGCACCCCGAGGGCGGCAGACCCGCGCCGAGCCCCGGGGGCCGCCCCGCATCCCTCGCCGAGTCGGGGGGGACGCCGCGCGCACGTTCTGCGGAGCCAGCGGACTCGGCGCCCCGAGGGCGTTCATCGTTTGCCTCCCTTCGCATCGCCCTTTCAGTTTTGGGGTTTGCAGGATTGGGTGCACGAAGGGAGCCATTTCACGCCAGCCTGGCCCAGCAGTCGCGCAGGACCCACCAAATCAGGATAAATCTTACCCCAATTTGGGATTTAAAAAAAAAAAAATAAGGCTAGGGTAGTCTGGGACAAGTTGTCTGAAGTTGACAGTTCCTCCAAGTCCTTTCATCTTGATTGCATCTTGAACCCCTCGGAGAGGCTGAAAGTTATGTGGGCCCTTTATTCCGAAAGAAACTTCAAATGCACATCTCCCACCTACTATGTTAGGTGGTTCTGGGACTCCTGCTTAGTAACCCAGTTCCATAAAATGTTTGCCCTCAACTTGTGTAACTGACATTTTTGTGTACCCTTTTCAGAGCTATTTGCAAAACAAAAAGCAGAAGCAGTATTTGGAAATGGCCTTTTTTTTTTTTCTTCTTTCTTCTGGTGGTAGTTTCTGCTGTTTAAAAAGTATTGAATACAAACTCAGAAGATTGCTAATTAAAATGTCGAATAATGCAGTTCTGTGACAGATGGAAATGGGGCATGTATTCAAGGTGTCCTACTTGATGTTTTCATATGTGTACGCTGTGAAATGACTTCCACAATCTTAACTGGTTAACTATTCATCACCTCAGTGTTTTGTTTTGCTTTGTTTTGTATTTTGGTGTATGCTGAGGACACTTAAGAGCTATCCTCTTAGCAAATTTCCATATACTATACAGTATTGTTAACTCTAGTCAACATACTATGTATTATACCTAAATGTACATAAATTTTATAACCCAGGGTTAGATTTGAAATTTCTTGTTAAATTTCATCATGCAACACTTTTAGAAATAATAGTAAAAAATATAAATAGGGAATTATTTTCTCTAAAATGTATCATATTTGTATACATTATAGAGGAAACAGCTGTTGAGAAGTTTCTGAAGCTTACCGGATATTTACAATCCTGAAATCAAAGTAACTTTAGTGAGAAGTCATTTCTTTATCCCTAATGGGCTGGAGGGAGTCTTTCAATTATTAGTACATGTCAAAAGCCATCTGCAATGTTTTTGTGACTTAACCTCTTCAAGTTTATTTATAATAATAACATGTTTAATGGTGTAATGTCATCCAAGCATTGTATCAATGTTTCCGTTCTTATTATCTATGATAGAAAACTATCTTAGTGCTTAGAAATTAAGTGACTGAAGCTTTGAGATTATACTGCATATTATACTGCAGTCTCTAAACCTTCGTAAAGAATATAGAAGATACCTTATAAATCTACCCAAGTTTAAGGAATTTGGACAGTATTGCTTTACAAAGCATATATTTTATCTCAGCTTTGGTATTGTTGGTAAGTCAGGACTTGCCTTTCCAATAAAACTTTTTCAGCTGTATGCTAATAATTGATTATATATAGTAATAGTGATGAGTGATTATACTTCTTTATTCTGTTCTCAAGCAAACAAATATTAAAATTATTTTTTATTTAGTTTTAAAAAGCCATATGTTAGATGAAAAACTGTGTGGTTTCTTTAGCAAATGAGCAGATGGGTAAGGGCAAGATAATGACCTCTTAATTGTTTCATGTAGGGATTTTTTTCTGTTTCTGAGAATTAGAAGAAAATTCATAGTTTTTGAAATATTGTCCAGTACATCTTTTGACTAACTTGAGTGATTTCAGAGTTTTTCTGAAAACAAAGAGAACCAGTCTTCTGATTCAATGTATCAGCAACCATTTGGTCCTGAGTGCCAGTGTGAAGGCTTGGATAAATAATTAATGCTGTTTAAATAAATTTATCTTAATATGTGGGTCACTTCTAAAACTAGTTTGTTTATACAAATATGTAACTAAAGGGGAACGTAAAGGCATTATAGAACTGTTCTAAAAAACTGGAGAAAACTTTATTTTCAAAGCAATGGCAGTAAAAACAAATAGAAATAATGTGTGGTTTGGAAAATACTGAACTTTTGACCTTTTGCTTTAGGATTTAACTTTGTTTTGGCTTTACCAACAATATTCCAGCTTTATAGAGTAACTTGTTATAAATTAAGATAAACATTTTCTATATTTCTGTACAATGAAACACCTTCCCCCTTTTTGCTATTGGCTTGACAAGTGTGGTTTTAAAAAAAGCTAATTTAAAGTAGAACACGTGGTTTGTCTTTATGCATTTGGTTGATTTTCCAAGAACAACCTATTCAAAATGTCAATGCCAAAGTTGGATGAAGGATGGATGTATTTCCTTAAGTGTTAAAAAATCTAGTATGATATAGAGCTATTTTGAGTACTTAAACTTAATTATATTGAATTTGTTCCTTTTTATAAGTCATACTCTAAAAATATTAATATATTCATGTGGAGGCAGGATATGCCAGCTTTTTTAAACTAAATAAGAAACTCCATTGTTGTTACTAAGCATAGTGCTTGGCCATGAGCACGTAGTAAATGTTTGTGAGCCGTAGGCATTGTGCTGGACTCTTAAGGATACATCATTGAAGAAGAACCATAAGGTCCCAGGTCCCTAAGGGAGCTTACATTGTTATGGAAACACATGATCTGAAGAAGTGTCACTTGTTCAGTGCCTCCAGCTTTTAAATCTACCTCTTCCTCGCTGATGCATTGCCATAGGTGTTTGGTGATGTCATAATGAGCGTGGTAGTCATTGGTATGAACGCAGCAAATACTGAAGGTTTCTGCTGTGGTTCTGAGTTAGATGGACCTATAAGTACTATGGTAACAATGAAAAGTAACTCTTTGGCCTAAACGCAGTTGGACATGTTCTTTTATACTAGGCAGTGGGGGATGAGGGGTTCATCTCAACTGTAGTGATGACTTTGTGAAATGAACTTGATTAGTAGTTGAAGCTCTGACACTTCTTGGCTTGCATGGAGTTACTTTGAGGCCAGGCAATAAATGGTGAGTTGACAACGTCTTTTGTTACACTGGGAATATTTCTGAATGTTGAGAACAGAAAAGCTTTACAGAGTCATGATTTTTCTGACTCGATGAAATGTGTTGTATGTGTACTCTGAGAAAAAGATGAAGATGTGATAATAGAGGCTCCTTGGTAGTGTTTTATTGAGTGATAGCTTAATTAGTTCCCTCAAATTGTACATTGAAAATGGAGAATGTGGTTGTCTAGGTGATTCCTAAAGCTACAGTGAGATACTAATTATTTTGACTACTCTGAGGATATTCATATTTTACACAGGCAGAATTATATTCTAAAAAGTGGATTTTATTGTATAAGGCTATTCGTTTTAAGAAAAGGATTTATTAACATAAAAAGAGCATGAAATTGCTCTTTATACTAATATTTTATTTCTAGTTTTTATTTTTCTTTGATTAAAAAACTCCATTGTTGTTACTTAGCATAGTGCTTGGCCATGAGCCACGTAGTAAATGTTTGTGGGCGGTAGGCATTGTGCTGGACTCTTAAGGATACATCATTGAAGAATCATCATAAGGTCCCAGGTCCCTAAGGGAGCTTACATTGTAGTGGAGATAGACATTCTGTAAGTAAACTATAACAATAAGACAATTCTGTTAGTATTAAGTCTACAAAGAAAAGGGAAAGGGAACAGGGTGAGATGGCAGGGGTGGGCAGAGAAAGTGCTTTGGGTAGGCTGGTCAGGGAAGGCCTCTCTGAAGAGGTAACACTGTATTGAGACCTGAAGGATGAAGAGGAGCCAGGCGTGATGGGGAGGAGCGTTCTGTACCTGAGGTTCCATGATGGGAGTGAGTTTGGGGGGTTGAGGAATATCAAAACCAGAGAGTCTGGAGCAGAGTGAGCGGGCTGTGAGGTGCTGGAGGCCTAGTGATGGAAGGCATTGTAAGCAGTTTGGATTCTGTTCCCCATGAGGGGAAGCTGCCCATGAAAGGGTAGGGGAGATGACCATTCGTTCTTTCACTCAGTGCACATTGAGTGCCTGCTATGGGACAGACATTGTTTATGGACCAGGGAACGAAGCAGGCATTCCTTATCCTTGGTATTCACAGATCTCTCCTGACCCCCCCACCCCCCTTGTGGTGTGGGGAGAGTAGGGGGAGAGAGAGAAATTGTGGAGGAGTGAGGGAAAGAATAGCAGTAGAGAAGTAGGTTAATAGGTCATTGTAGTAATTATGTGGGCGATGGTGGCTCGGATTGGAGTGGCTAGATTGGATTAGGAGAGAAGATAATGTGTTTGGAATACAAACTGGAGAAACAAAGTGACTGAATTTATTGATGGGTTAGAGGTGGTAAATGAGGGAAAGGAGAGTCAAAGATGGTATCTTAATTTTGGCTTCAGTAATTATAACAGATGGTGGTGTCATTTCCCGAGCTGGGGGAAGAGTGAGGAGAACAAGTGGACTAAAGAGTCCTATTTTGGCCATGTGAAGTTTGAGATGCT